GGAGCAAGGCTGGGATGATGAGTCTGCTCTGATGTTTGTGGAGGCCCTAATGTCTTGTCCCAGCTGTTAGGTGTCATGTGTCTGGGAAATGACAAATGAAAATTCACTGAAAGGACTAGTAGAGACCGCAGATAGCTCCCCCTTTCCCTTATACATTAAGCTCAGACTGTCTGTCCTGTGAGTGGGGAGCAGTGTAGACGAAGATGGTGCTGAGCAGCAGTGAGCTGGACCCTTTAGCACTGAAGGGTCACCCAAAGCAGGACCCTCCACAGTCTTGGGCTCCTGGAAGCCAGGGAACAGCCCTGTGCGGGAAAGGCTCAGGGCTCTTCACTGTACCAGGGACCTGGCCAGCCCTGAGATTTGTCTCCAGGGAAGAAGCCAAAGGCAATATTCAACCCAGGCTGGATCTTCATCGGCCCCTAACCACCATCCCCAGGGAGAGTCCCCTTCCCTATGGCAGGGGCTCAGTGAGCCATAAATGATCTAGTCATAGTGTGTTGTAGTTCTCCAAGCAAAACAGTCACAATTTTCATCAGATCAGCTATATCTTTTGCAAGAGTCCATCTTGATCAGGCCTGTTTACTGTTGGCATTCTCTTAAAGAGGGTAGGGAAAGTCATTGGACCCTTACCTGAGATTCTCTTCCCAGCTGTGTATGTGTATTCTGTCCTAATTGCACATGGCCTCAAGATGCTACAGTGTGTAAGCCAGAAGCCAACTGAACTCCACATATGTGGGAGGAGCTCCATATACACAAGGAAGCTATCATCTATGTTGGACATAGTCTTTCCAGTGCAGCTACTTTAGGGTTGCCCATGCTGTCAGTTACCCCTCACCATGTTAAGTAAACCCAAACCCATTAGCTCCCCATGAGGAACTGTGTTGCAATCAAACTTGGTTTGCCATTGGGATCTTATGAGGAAGGGATATATGTCATTTACATCTCCCCAGTGAAGGAATTCTCCAGTCTGAAATGAAGAATGGGGGTTACCAATCTGTGGGCCTGGACTGGACAGCTCTCACTGTCCCTCCACACTCCCTGGGCTTCTCCACATCTGTTTCATGAGACTTCTTTCCAGGACACATACTGAGAATATTTACTGTGTGTATGTGTCATAAATATACATGCCACACACCCAGTATGGATGAAATCATTGAAAATGTATGAATGAGCGAGTGAATGGATAATGGAAGGAATAGGCTAGGCAATAAGTGAGGATGTGAATAAATGGGTGGATATATACATGAATGAACAGTTGAATAATATATATTATATATGTATAATTACATATATATATATATAACAGAAAAGTGAGTGGATAAATGGAGGGCTAAGAAGGTGGGTAGATGGCTGGATGGTAGGTGCATGGATGGATAGATAGGTGAGAGGATGGATGGATGGATGGATAAAAGGGTAGATGGATGAATGGATAGGTAGATGGTGGGTTGGTGGATTGGTGAGTAGGTGGGAGAATGGTGTGTGGGTGAATGGATAGATGAATAAGTGTATAGAGGTGCAGGTGGATGGATGAGTGGGTAAGTGGATATATGGATAGGTGGGTAGGTAGATGGGTGGATGAGAGGATGGAATGGATGGATGGATGGATGGATGGATGGATGGATGGTGGTGGGTAGATGGCTAGATAAATAGATGAGTGGATGGACAGGTGGGTGATGAGTGGGTGGCTAGATAGATGAATTAGTAAGTATATAGATGTGTAGGTGGATGGGTGAGTGGGTGGGTAGATGGGTGGATGAGAGGATGGGTGGGTGGATGGATGGATGGATGGATGGAAGGATGGATAGATGGATGGTGAGTAGGTAGATGGCTACATAAATAGGTGAGTGGATAGTGGGTGGGTAGATGTATAAGTAAGATGAACAGATGAGTAGATAGAAGCGTGGATGAATGGATTGGTGGGTGGGTTCATAATGCATGCACGAGTAAGTTAATAATCCATTGGACAAGCAATCAACAAATGGACAAGCGAGCAAGTAGATGAATGTATCTTCACAGACACACCAAGCATCCCCTCTGAAGGGAAGTGACTGGGCTGTTCTATGATACATCCCTGCTAGGCTCCAGCCAGGTCTGGGCCTGAGATTGTAAACCCAAGCTGGGCCTCCACAGCAGAGGGACAAGCACCCACTGACTCCTCCTTCTGTCCCCATTTACCTTTATGGATAGAAATCCCCTCTGCTAACTCCAGAGTACACCTGGATCCCAGCACTCCTCCCCAAGGCCCACGCTTTGGTCTCTCCATGGACCTCAGCATCTATTCTTTACCTGCCACCCGCTCTCAACAAGGCAGACTAAGGGACCTTCAAACAACAGTCCTCACCTGCTGAAGAGGAGAAAGCAAGAACTTTCAGGTAATAGCAATTCCTGGGTCCATTAATAAGGCACTTATTCCACTGGGTGCCCGTGAGGCCAAATTATAATGAGTTGGGTACCTTCTGTGGAGATCTTAGATGACACTAATGGGGAAGAATCACTGACTTAAAGCACACCAAGGACCTGGCTGCTGGAAACCGCCACAGGCTCTCAAATCTGAATGAGATTTAGAATAGAATCGAACAGGATAGGCCAGGACAGTACAGAACAGCAGAATCCTGACCCCATGGAATCAGTCAGCACCCCTGGCCATGACCCTCCTGCCCCCCTTTTCCCTCACCCACTACATCTCTCCCTCAACTCTCTTGTGCCTGGTGCAGGGCCTTTGCACTTGCCGTCACCTGCCTGGTCTGCAGCTTCTTGAATGCAGGGTCTTTTTCCAGGCCTGAATACCACCATGTCTCCTGCTGTAAGAGGCCTCTTTTGACAGTCTCTCCTGGCAGGTCACTTTATCACTGTGACAACATTAATCACAAGTCAATTGTGTGTTACTGGGTAGCATGCTTATCATCTATTTCCCTGTAAACAGATTAGCACAAGGGTCCTTGTCCCCACTGTTCTAGTTTCATTTCTGTTGCTCTGATGAAATGTCCTTACGAAAATCAGAAAGCGTTTATTTTAGCTCATAATTCCAAGATATGTGCATCAGTGCAGGGTGAAAATCAAGGCAGGAACTTGAAGCAGCCAGCAAAGGAGAAGGCAATTAGAGCATACTTGGTGCTCAGATGCCCGTCTCTATTCACATACAGTCCAAAACCTCAATCTGGGTCTTTCTACATTAATGAAAGTCAAGACAGTCTGCCACAGACACCCCCACAGGCCAACCTGATCTACATGATCCCTCATTGAGACCCTCCAGGTGATTCTAAGTTGTGTCAAGTTGACTATTTAAACCAACATGCTGACGGTTTCCCCAGACTTCTTTGACACATAGTTGGTGTCTCTTAAGCACAAATGGATGGATGGATGGATGGATGGATGGATGGATGAATGAATTTCTTCTCGATGCTGTTAGTTCCTTGAGCACACACCTACCTTGTTATTATTCCTTCTGTTCTTTAGCAAGCCTCAGCGTATTGACCTGTGGGCTGGGAAGGTGCTGTGGGGCTGTCCTGTGTGTACATAGGATATTTCACAGCAGCTTCAGCCTCTAGGCACCAGTAACACCACCGCAGCCGTGACAACCAATGTCGTCTCTAGACATGGCCACGACTCCTGGTGCGCGGAGTCAATCGCTCAGTTGAGAACTCCCGCGTGGAACTGTCCCGCCTCTGGGTGCTCAGAGGCTTAAATAAATACCCTTAAAGAGAATTGTGTACTACTGACACAGTTCCACTACGTAACCAGCAGGTGGCAGCAGAGACCGCCTTTCTGGTAGCGGAGGCCTCCCTTTGGGAAACTTCTGGCTTTGAATCTGCAGTGGCCAGCCTCCAGCAGGGTTTGTGGGCCTGCACGGGCTGCACAGCCACTGTGTTTACACTTCTCCAAAATAAATAGAACAGACGTTGCCTCACAGCTCCTGAGTCTAGGGGCAGACAGGAAGTGGAATGGTACAGGTGTTGGCAGGAAGGGCTGTTTTAGAATCCCCAGCCGAGTTTCAGTCCCACTTGCAACCCTTTTCCTCTTTGTGCTTCTGAGCCAATTAACTTGGGCTGCCTGTGCCTCAGTTTCTCCTCCCTACCCTGACGGACTTATCTCCATAGGTCTCATTCCCGGCTACATGCTTCCTCCCTCCTCAATAATACGTCATCTCAGAGATCAAAGCTAGTCCTGCAGTCACTGTCTCTCAGTTCCGGCAGGTCATGACCTTCTCTCAAGTGTTTGCTGACTGACTAAATAACTAGCATGTAGAATGCACAGAAAGTACTCAGTGTCAACCATGATGATGACATCTCAATGGAGAGGATGTCACATGAAGGGGAATGTCATGGTGAAGATGATGATGTAAAGATGATGATGTCATGATAAGGATGATGGTGTCGTGAAGATTATAATGCTATGGCAAAGTTGATGATGTCATGGTGAGAGTGATGTCATGAGACTGATAGTCATATTAGGATGTTGACATCATGTGAAAGTGGTGACGTCATGATGCTGACAATGGTGTTGCCATCTCATCCCAAACTGGGACCAAAACTGGGAGTTTCTTCAGCCTGAGACTTGCCACCTCCTGTCTTGCGGCTGGAGTCTGACAGAAGCAGATTCATACTGACTCCTGCCTGAGCACCCAGCTCCACCCACGCAGGAAATGCTCTCCTCTTAAGCCTGGGGTTGGGCTAACACCTGGCCTAGGGTTGGGCACTAAACACAAAGATGTCAACTGAGGACAAAATGAAGCCTGGGGAGGCACAGAGCAGCACAGAGCTGAGAAGCTCTGGAGTGGTGGGAATTGGTACTTGTTTCAGGTGATGTGGTTTCCACATTCCCTCTCCTCTTCTGGTCCACCAGACACACAGCAAACACACAGCAAAGTGGGCAGCCAAGGGCAAGAAGACAGCAGCTAGGCCAGAACTCAGTCCACAGTGGTCTACCACTGCCCCTCTGGCCTTTGAGAAACAGAAGGTTGCAGCCTACTAAGTTGAGTTCATGAAACCCTGGACCTCCAACAGTGACCAAGCTCAGATAGCCTGATCCTGCCTCTGCCTCAGGCTGAGCACACGGGTAGCTGCTAGGAAGGCTGCCCCAGTGAGCAGCTCAGAAATGAAGCTGATCCAGCCTAGGGCCAGCGACCAGCCGAAGCGGATGTCCACCTGGTCCAGCAGAGCCCTCTCCTCCAGAAGACACAGCGCCTCACGGAAGGCAGTTGATGAGTATGCGATGTAGATGCTGATCCCAGTGAGGGTCACCATGGCTGCAGGGAAGGACCGGAAGGGTGAGTCAAAACTTCCTGGGCCTGCCCCTCCTCCCTCCTCCCTCCTCCTTCCTCTCCTTGTCCTCCCTTTCTACTCCCTCCCCCCCAGCTCCTCCTCCCCTTCCCCCTTTGCCTCCTCTTCCTGCCTCACTACCACCTCTTCCTCTATGTCCCTCCTCTTTTCCCCTTACCTCCTCCCCCTCCTCCTCTCCCAACTCTCCTTCCTCCTTTACCTCCCACTCCTCCACCTCCTTCCTCCTCCCCCTCACTTCCTACCTACCTCCCTCCTTCTCCTCTCTCATCTTCCACTTCCATCTGCCTCGCTTCCCCTTTCTCCCCCTCTTCCCTCCCTTCCTCCTCCCTTACGTCCTTGCCCCTCAACCCAATCAGGGGCTCCTCAGCACTCTCCTTGTCTCCTGTAGAGCCTTTGCTGAGCCGGTCCCTCTGCCTGCTGTACCCTCCTCTCCCTTCCCTTCTTCCTAACTCTATTTCTGGATGATCCTGAGTAGGTCACACACCGCCCCACCCCACCCCTGTGACTCCACAGCTACCCACGGGGGCCCAGGTCACAGTTACAATTTTGCCTTTGCATCTACCTCTAGAATGAGTCTGGGAGGGTGGGCACTGGGCCTACTTTGCTTGTCCACAGCACCTACAACAGTGCTGGTACACAGTAGGTCTGAGATAAGTCAGGATTGTGTGGTAGAGTGGCAGCCACTGGCTGGCTTTGTTTGGGTTTTTCTACTTTGTGTTTGTCCTGCTGTGGATGGAACCCAAGGCCTTGCACATCCCAAGGCCTTGAGCTCTTACTAGGCTCCATTCCAGCCTGTGATTTTTTTTAACATCAAGTATCATTAAATGAATAAGTTGATCCCTTGATGGTACCAGCCACACAAGTTGGTTCATGGCTCCAGATCAGAGAAGGCCACCACTGGAGTCAGGCCTGGTGGTGCCAATAGGAGAAATAATCAGAGTGGGCTAATTGGCCATCAGCACCAGCACCATGAATAGCCGTGGGTGGCTGGAGTGCAGGGCCTTGCACTATCTTCACCTTCAGACATTACTTTGGTTTTTCTCCCTCTGAGGGTCCCAGGCTCACATTGTATAAGAGCTGTCCTGTGTGTGTGTGTGTGTGTGTGTGTGTGTGTGTGTGTGTGTGTTGTGCACATGAGTGTGCCAGTGTGTGTACTTATGTGTACATACTGAGGCCAGAGGAGGACTTTAGGTGTCCTGCTCTTGCTGTCCACCTAATTCTCTTGAGACAAGGGTAGCTCACTGAACCTGGAGCTGGACAGACAGATAGCCTGCTCTTGTCTCTGCCCCCAAGAGTGCTAGGGTTACAGACATGTGTGTAACCACACTTGGCTCTTTACGTGGGTGCTGAGGATTTGAACTCAGGTCCTTGTACTAGAACAGTAAACATTCCTGTCCACTGAGCCATCTCCTCAGCCCCTATCTTTTTCTTTTGAACACAGGGAGCCAGAGAGCAGCCAGCTGGGAGTCACTTAAAGAAAACCACCTCAGCCAATGTCTGCCTGCTTGACCTTGTTTGGTTTGGTTTTGGTTTAGATTTGAGTTTGAGTTTGGGGAGATTTTAGGGTTTGGTTTGGCACTGGCATTAGTTTTATGTCTTTAAGAGTCTCACCACTATGTCGCACAGTCTGGATTTTAACTTGGGACCCTCCTGCCTCGGCCTCCTGAGTGCTGGGATGACGGGCATGCATAGCCAGGTCCTACTGTGTTGCCTTCTGCACAGGTTACACTCATACATATTCACAGTATGAAGCACATGGTTTTGACATGTGTGTAACTGATGAAATGGCTTGAAAGACTATTGATCACACAGGTTGCCTCACACAAACTCTTCTTTATGGTGAAAACACCTAAAATCTACCCTCTCAGCTGGTGCTAACTATAATCACCTGGATGGACAGTATGTCTCTAGAACTTGCTCCTCATGGCTAATGAAATTGGGGGTCATTTGAGCACTGTCTCCAGCCCCAGCCTGCAGTCTCTGATGATGGTTTTCTTCTGTCTTACTGTGAGCTCTGCTTGCTGAGACTGTCCCTGTGTCCTTCTGTGCCCAGCGAGTCTGATTTCTAATCAGGTTTCATAAGACCCATATCAGAACAGCTAATTGACAAGAAAAGTGGGGGCCAGAGTCTCTTGTCAGCCCACAGCCGTAAGCAAGAGGCCAAGGTCATCATCATGAGTCCAGACAGGTGACAGAGGTGACACACAGGTTGTTCTGCAGCAAGATGGCCCAGACTGTCCCAAGGCTGCCTCCCCTTCCTATTTCTTTCCTAGCATCAGAGATCTGGGGCCCTCCAAGCTGAAACCCCTTCCCTCATGTCTGACATTACAGATGGGGGGAATAATAGGAGCTGAGGTTTTGCCCTGGAAGAGGGTTCCTGCACAGTCGTCAATACCCATCCAGCTGTGAAGCTTGGGCCCCACCAGGTGGAAGCCTACCTCCAAATAGGAAGAGGCTCCCAGTGAGCAGCAGGAGCAGGTGGGCTCGGAGGAGGAAGCTCAGGAACCCCATCATGCCTCCAAACACCATCAGGATCAGACTAAGAGGCAACAGGATCACAAACGTCCCATGCATGGCTGAGAGAGGAGAGAGAGAGAGAGAGAGAGAGAGAGAGAGAGAGAGAGAGAGAGAGAGAGAGAGAATGAATATATGACTCACCACAGGGGGTTACTAACATCCAATGTTCAATCAACAAGCATTTACTGTATTTCTACGATAGGAAAAAATACCACTTCTAATGATAACAGTGAAAACAAGAGCAGTGGTCCAGGCTCCCTGTGCATAGCCCGTACTGTGAGCACCCCTCACTAACTCTTTGTGACCCCTAGAGGGAGGTGTTGTATTATTTCCTTATTCACTCTGCAGAACTGGGATGAATCAACCAAGCATCAGTCCTTGTGGACTGACATGCCAATGAGCATGCAAATAAGTAAATATGCAAATAAGTAAATGGCAACACTCAAGATAGACATGAACACCAAGGGTCCGGGGAAATCCAGTTCCCTGAGCAGCAGAAGACAGTGATGAATAGGTGGAGGAGGCTGGAGAAGGGTCTCATAAAGCCCTATAACCTAAACCCATGTTCTGTCTCTGCCCCAAGCCCTGTCATTAAATTACAGCTGTCTCATGAGTCCAAGGCATGTGACTCATTTTGCATCCCTGAGGAGGAGGGATCTCCTAATCTCACTCCGTGTCTCAGAGGGAACTACACACCAAAAAGTCTTCATGATCTTAAAAATAAATATACAGTGCGTAAAAGTGCTTGCTGCATCAGCCTGACAACCTGAGTTGGATTCTCCAGAACCCACACAAAGCTAGGCACTCATGGTAGCGCATGTGAGAAATCACAGTGCCCCTACACTGTCGGGGGTAGAGAGACAGGACGATTCTTGGAAGCTTGCTTGCCAGCTAGCCTGGTGTAGCAAATGACAGTAGAATCTTCTGTAAGCAAGGTGGAGGGCAAGGACTGGCATGGCATGCAAGGTGGTCCTCTGGCTCCCTCATATATACCATGGCTGAACAGAGAGAGAGAGAGAGAGAGAGAGAGAGAGAGAGAGAGAGAGAGAGATTTAAAATAATAATTTCCTCTCATCATTCAGGGAAAAGAGACCTCATTTCTTCTGGGATTTCCTCATGCCACATCCACATCCTCTGGGGCCCCTCAGCTCCCCATAGCTACATGATCCTGACATCTGTTATCTAGCGTTCAAGGCACCTCAGTCACTTCTCTGCCTTCCTGTCAGGTCATGAGTCCATGAATGACAGTCATCTTCTTGGATGCTTTCCTGAGTTTCTTTCTAGCATTAGTCTTCAGACATGGCACACTCAACTGGCATTTGTTGACAGTGAATGAAAAAAGAAAGAAAGAAAGAAAGAGAGAGAGAGAGAGAGAGAGAGAAAGAAAGAAAGAAAGAAAGAAAGAAGGAGAGAGAAAGAGAGAAAGAGAGAAAGAAAGAAAGAAAGAAAGAAAGAAAGAAAGAAAGAAAGAAAGAAAGAAAGAAAGAAAGAAAGAGGCCCAGTGTGCTTTATGAGGCAGAAATGGCCATTTCTAGGAAATGAGAGGAAGGGAAGGAAGCGTGAGAGATGCTTAACTAGGATTCTGGGTATCATGGCTGACGACTCACAGCATGAGGCTGTGGGCTTCATCCACACCACTCACACCCCAGAACCTCCCTCTCCACATGCATGCAGGGCAGTAATGCAACAAATTACAAGATGCTCAGTGTGTGTAAGGACAAAAGGGCAACATGGCCACGTGGAGAGATGTTCAGCATCGTGACCTGGGACCCTTCCTTCTGCTGGGGCTCAGACATGGTGGGGGGTGGTCCCCGGGGTTTATTTGTTGAAATCTGGACTTCACGGTGAGGCAACAAGAGGACAGAAAGTGTTAGGTGTGGTGACTCATGCATGTAATCCCAGGACTTGGGTGGTGGAGGCAGGAGGATCAGAAGTTTGAGGCCAGCCTAGGCTACATAGGGAGTTTGAGGTCAGCCTGAGCTGCATGAGACCCTCTTCTAGTTTGTTTCTCCTTTACTGTGACAAAACACTCTGACCAATATCAACTTGGGGAGGAAAAGGTTTATTTGGTTTACATCTCCCAGTTCACAGTTCATCAGGTAGCCCAAGGTAGGAACTCAGGGCAGGAACCTGGAGGCAGAAGCTGGAGCACAGACCATGGAGGAATGTTGCTTACTGGCTTGTTCCCCTGGCCCATGCTCACCTTGCTTTCTTATACAATACAGAACAACCCTGCCCATGGGTGGCACCACCCACGGTTGGGCTGGGCCCTCCCACATCACTCAAAAATCAAGAAGATGCCCCACAGACATGGACACAGGCCAGTCCAACGGAGGCAATTCCCCAATTAAGGCTCCCTCTACCCAGGTGTGTCAAGTTGACACTAAAGCATCCAGCACAGACCCTGTCTCAAAATAAAGCAAAGGAAAGACAGGAAAGCCGCAGGAAAAGAAACACACACAAAACAACAACAAAAACAGAGAATGGGAACATCTTGACTGCAGTTTTTAGATGTGGGGTCAGGTCGTTAGGGTGATTAAGGTTAGAGGACAGTGAGATGCCAGTAGCTTTATAAGAAGAAGGACAGAGACCAGAACATGTGAACACACTCAGCTCCCTGTCTGTCAGCCCATGAATTTCTTCACTGCCTAGGGGCTCTGCCTTCAAGAAACCATGACACATCTGTGATCCTAGTGCACAAAGGCTGAGACCGGAGGATTGTGATTTCAAGGCCAGCTTTGGCTACATAGTGAGTTCCAAGCTATCCTGAGCTACTGAACAACAGTGAGACCTTGCCTCAAATTTTAAAAAGGGAGGCAGAGACGCAGAAGGAGAAGAAAGAGGAGGAAAAGGGGAGAAGAAGAGGAAGGAGAGGAGGAGGAGCAGGAAAGGAAAGGAGGCAGAGGGGGAAGAGCCACTATCATCAGAGGTCACCCCCGGACCCTGCACCTCTAGCACAGTGAGCCAAATAAACGTCTTCCTTCCTTAAACCTCACTCAGACTGAGGCCACAGAAAAAGAACCAATTCATCTACCAGTCATAAAAATAGTCAAGATGATAATTGTCTCTGACCTCCATGGTCACCACACCACTTTGTCATCCGCCCCCTGTAGTGCCATCAACCTTGTGAGTCCAGGAGGGCAGACTGAACTCCCTTCCAGAGCTACTGGAGGAGGCGTCTGTGATCACTGTAGAGGGAGGATCATGTGGAGGGGAGGTCTGGGATCTATCCTCCTACCTCTTTCCTTTCTCCTAAGGAGAAGCCTCAGGTAAACATAAGCAGCAGGTGTGAAAGGTGGCCCAGCTGGCCAGGGCCCCCTGCTTGATGTCACCCCAGACCGTGCCTGAGAGATGAGGTCATTTTTCTTGTAGAAATTAATGACGTTTTCCAGTGGCTGCTTGGCCCCACAGCCCTGCGGTGCTGTGGCACACATTCTATTAACCATCTGGGTGAGAACAGGCTCCCCGTGGGACAGCTGTAAAACACACTGACATTGGATTAGCTTTTTGTATTTGTGCACTTTATTCTTTGTAATTTTTTGTTAATTCTTTTTTCAGGACTATGGTCTTGGAATGTGAATGCTGATTCCAAGTATTGCTGAACTTGGAAACAGACCCACCTCAAACCACATCTCTGCATGTACTTTGGGGAAAATCCTCCAATCTGGAGGCATGGATGTGATACAGAAATCTCTTCCAGAATTCTGGGATACTGGGGACAGGGTATGTCATTGTGCATACAGGTGTACGTAGACGTGTGTGCACATTCATGTGGAAGCATGGTCAGCATTGGGTGTCTTCAGTTACTCTTTATCTTATTTTTTAAGATGGGTTCTCTCATTAAATTTGGAGGTCACCCATTTGACTATACTGGCTGGTCATTGAGTCCCCGTGATCTGCCTATCTCTGCCCCCAAAAGCACAGATGTAATCATCTTTTACCTGGGGGCTAGAGATCCAAACTCAAGTCCTCATGCTTGTGCAGCAAGCATTTTACCCACTAAGCCATCTCCTCAGGCCCCTAGGACTTACCAAATTCAATAGATGAATAGACAGTGTCTGCTATGAACCTACCTCCATGGCCCAGAGACAAAAATGATTAATTCACAGATGGGTCCCCCCGTGGATATATTGATAGAGTGCCTACAGGAATTATCATCCAAATTGGAGTGTGTCTAAGAGCCAAACAGCCATCAAAAGCTATTAAGTCATCTACCTTTACCAACAGGCACAAGCCAGCATTAGGGCAAGCTGGGACACATGTATCTGTCCATTGTACCAGGATCTGCCCAACACCTGCCACCCACACTCCCTGGGGCTCCAGTGTTCCCACCATCATCTGACAGCCAAGGGGCCATAGCAAGCTAGGATACAATCTTGCAAACTGTGGTTCTCTCATCTGTTAATAGAGATAGGAGCATCTGTCCTTTAAGGTGGTATGTTGAGGATACAGTACTTGAAGAAAACGAAAAACTACTGAGGGACTGGGGAATGACTCAGTTGGTAAAGTGCTGTGTGTATACACATGAAGACTTGAGTCATGCCAGGTGCAGCAGCACATGCACCTGTAACCCCAGTGCTGGAGAGGCCAAGTCCCAGAGTTCACTGGCCAGACGGTGTAACTGGATGGGTGAGCTCCAAGTTCAGTGACAGACCCTGTCTCAAAAAATAAGGTGGAGAGTGATAGAGGAAGACACCTGGCATCAACCTCTGGCTTTACACACACGTGTGCGTGCACACACACAAGCATGCATAAGCACATGCTCACACATTTAAAAGGGGGAAAAAAGACAGCCAACACTCAGAAGAATGCCTGTCACATTGTGTTCCCATGTAAATGTTGCTGTTAACGTAATTGCTTTCTTGGCTTGGGACCAATGCTATCTAAAAGAAGTAAGTCTATCTAAAAGAATAAAAACTTATAAAGCATTTAGAAATAAATACAAATTCTGTTAGAACCAATGTCTAGGGCTGGAGGGCACTGGCTCTGATCACAGGGCTATCCCATATACTCAGTAGAGGAAGGGGATGATGGAGCATGGTGCGGGAATGTCCAGCAA